TCGGGGGGGGGGGGGGGGGGGTACTCATCTAAACGCATGCCTTGTAGTCGTTAGACCATTAGCGTCGCATCCCTACAATGCCAGGATGCCGGGTTTTCACCGCCCCAGGCGACGTTTCACCCAAGGATGAAACGGGCGCAGGGGGGGGTGATGTAAAGGCCGGCCTCACGAGATTGACAGGATAGCAACCGCGATATTTGTCCATGATCTTGCGTATATTTTCTAAAAAACTTTCGTAATTTCACGCATTTACATTGTTGTATGCATACAGCAGTTTGAACAATCAAGGCTCGTGAGATGTGGATAGTTGGTAGAATCAATGAGTCACCCTGCCGACTTCAAAAACAAGATCCTTCCGGATCTCTACCCCTGGTTTTGAGTACAGCTGCAAGAAAATACGAAAAAAGTCGATAGATACAAAGTGGGTTTTGGCCATTCTGCTCGTGGCAACGTCCTTCGCCCCGATGAACGTACGCGACCGTAAAGCCGTTGAGATATCCCGTTGCTATCCATCATACAACGTGCATAATGTTTTGTTTGTTGTTTGTTTTTCTTCACATTAAACTCGTGTCAGTTGCTAATCCCAAAATCTAGAAAAGACTCGGCCCGTGGTCACAAAAATGCTAAAGCCATCAGAAGATCTAAAGAACACGCACACTATTAGCAAGAAAAGGGTACACAAGCCCGAGGAGGTACACCTACAATCCCTGCAGCACGTTTGCGTGCTCACAACGTGCATAATGTACGAGACAACGAGACCGCTCCATGCTCCCATAAAACAGCAGTACGCGGGTAGACAGTTTCACGGAGAGACTTATTCTCGTGGCCAAGTGGCACAGAAAAACTCAAAACACCTCATCGTGAGTATTATAGGCCCTCGCCAAAAGTTGGATGAACACTCCGAGGCTGCACAGCTTGTGGGCTAGCGGGTTTACCACCCTCCCCCGTCGCGTTCAAGGGCAGCGGTAAGAGCGACCAGGCGCGTACATATGCCTACATCCAAATCGCATGTGCGATTCGGAGTTCTTAGGTGTGCACCTACACAACCATAGGATAGAGCCGCTCTGTATATGCATAGCACACACACACAAGCGCTATATCCTCCTCTGATTGCGATGCATGAACACCAGCAGAGCGCTACTGTACTACTCTCTGTTGTGGACACAGCCTATGGACGAATAGGAGGTTGTCCATCAGCTTCCGTGGCGCGAGCGCGCGAGAGAGAATCAGAGGAGATTTGGTCGGGGGGGGGAGGGAGGGTACAGAGGTACAACATATCTTTTACGAAGCAATGCACCGACTTCAACACCAACAACGTGTGGTTTCACGTTCTGCGGACCACCCCCTCGTGTCGACGCGCCAAAAACATGGTTGACATGGAGGACCACACGGCACAAACAGGAACATTTCTTTCTGGCGCGTGCTCCTGAAACAACAACGGGAATCTCGAGAGCCTCTGCTGCTGCTTGCCGTTGTCTGCTGCCTCTCTTGTTTTGCGCTGGTGGTGCAATGGTGGCAGCGCCCCCTGCTTCACGAAGATCGGATTGAAATGGAGCAAGTGCGTGCCTCTTCCTCTTTGCTGTAGAAAAAAAAACGCATGGCATACGCTGTATCTAACTGAGAACTCCAACAAGCAACCAAGTCGCACAGACAGCAGCAGAGCAGTCATCATCAGCAGGAACAACATCATCACACACCTTCGTGCCGAATCCAAGTCGCCGTTTTCAATCCAGCCCTGCACGATCGCTCGTGTCCACTCGTTCGGGTCCCAATTGACCCACGTGCGAGCCGCTTGCCAAACCTCGCTGTCAGCGCGGGTGGCAGGAGGCGGCATCGGAGAAGTCATTGCCGTGCTGTTGTTCTCAACGGCGCCGGCCAAAGGCAGCTCAGTGGTGAGAGAGGCCGATCTCGCCCTGGGTCTCCCAGTCGCAATCCTCAGCAGGGGCCGAACGAACCGGCCGTTCGCCCTGCGGTTGGTGGCGTGCAGGAGCACCGCGTTGACGCCCAGGATCGTTGCCACGCCGAGGATCAACAGTACGCTGGTCCAGGCGTCGATGATGCTGTTGTCTGCTGTTGCTGGTGATGGTGCCATCGTTTTTTTCCTGCTTGACCAGACCTCTCAAAGGGGCAACCAATCAGTCACACGTTGATTTGCCGAGATTTGATTTGAGTCGCTTTTGCTCTCAGCAGTGCCTCCCTCCCTGCGTAGTGGATGAAAGGGGCCAATGAGCCGGGAGGCTGCTAGTAGGTGCGTGCGCTCGGGGTAGAGAACGGTGCGCGTGGTCTGCGCCGGATACTTACGCGGTGCTTGCGCGAGTGAGAACTGTCAGTCCTTGGCTGCCTGGCGAACATCGAACATTCACATTCACATGTGACGTTGTTGGGGTTCCCAGACCAAAGAAAAAAAAAACATTGCCCCAATGGTATATTTTTTTATTGTCATATACCATTGCATTGCCCGGTCATCGCAGGGGGAGACGCAAATAGTATCATGAAATCGTAGAGTATGACATCCTTGCTTGCTCCGTCTTCCGACAGACCGAGACCACTTTTGCCTCGCCTTGGCAGTGCTGGGCGATGCACATATGGATTCTCTGGCGGAAGGAGCGGCTGCCGTCATAGTGCGCGTGAGCAACTTGCAAGGTGCCTTGCAGGAGTCTCTCTGCTACATCGAGGTCACCCATGAGGGAACAAGTTCAGGTACGTAGAGAATTTTTTCTGCAGCTTGACCGGCGTGACACACGTACCCCCCTTGCGAAAGCGCGGGAACGACGCTGTGGAGTAGTCACCGCTCTCCTCTTCTACACACCCCTACAGCTGGTTGGATGGTGTAACAGCTTTCTTGCATGGGTGTTCAGAAGTGATTGCTGTGACGGTATTCGTTGATGTCGAGAAAGTGAACCAACGCCCTCACGCGTGCGGTAAACCTCCAACCTCCAACCTCGCATGATGCATATCCAGTGGTGGTGGTATGCATACATACATGGCCGTTGGTGCTTTCGGGGAACGTACTATGTACGTGAGGATGCAACACGTAATTTATGTGATCGCACCGGATGCCTAAGCCAGCCATGAGCAATCATTCGTCGTACAAGCTCCCATGAGTATCATAACTCGTGCGGTTCCCCTGTCTGTCGGAGCCATTTACTAACTCTAGACACCTGCTACATGTACGTGTGGAATCCGGAATCTACGGAGAGCATCTGTTCTCAAGCGATTTGCGTTCCCATGACTCCAAACTCCAGCCCCTTTGGTTCCAGCGTGTGATTCGTCTTTTTTTACTCATGGGGCTCATAAATCACGTGGTCATTGAACAATGTCTGGGTTGTTGGGCGCGATAGGATATCTCAAGCGCTTATCGAGCGAAAGAACGTCGTATCGATCGGCGTTTACCAGATGCGTTTGCACAACGGGTGTGGTATATATACCCCCTGGAAAGCTGCTAGGTACAAACGTTGCTAGCTCGACCTACGCTTGGCAGTGCAAGCACAACAGAGCCGGCAACAATGTTCGCCTAATTCCCGGCATGGGGGTCGCATAGTCAAACTTGAAGACAACGGTGTGCCCTACACTACTTTCGGAGTAGTCTAGAGGGCGATCGGACCATGCTGTGATCGAAGAAGGATGGTAGGCATGCATTCCTCGTACAGCAGTACCCAGTTCGTGTGCCCCAGTTGGTTGACCTGAGCCACGCGCGCCTGCCAACGCATTCTCGCGAAGGCAGCAACCAAACCAACAACAGCGTCTACCTTGAAGTTTACGTTTATGTGTACCCTACAACTCTCAGCAAACACAATAATAAAAGCACACCCCCTTGCTGCTTCTACATATGGGCACATGTTCTATCGTTGCACTTGGGGCCCCCTCCCCAAGAAACGATACGCGACGGGCAAACCTGTATTCCTTCACTCAGCCGCACCCCCATGTATTGAGAAATGTTGTTCACTCCTCCGCTACCGTTTTTTGTAACGTATATCCCTCCACTTTGTTCGCACACCCTCATGGGGGGCTCCAGACCGGCGAACATCCCGCCCCGCGTGTAAAACTTACGCCGTGCTGTTCTTGTGTGCCCTTTGGGATGGTCCCGGCAACAACGAGCACGGCCAATCGCAACAAGGACATTTGCACAATTTGCACTGATGAAGATTGGTACCATTTGTTAACTCCACGGCCCATCACAGCAAGACGTGTCACAAACTTGCGCTGATGATCGGTACCATTTGGTTTCCTTCCCCCCCCACCCACCCCCGTCTCTCTTGCTCCCCTCTCTGGCTTGCGAACCCCGTGTTGTCTCTTGATACCCCCATGATATGCAGATTGGTACCATTTGGGTAACTCCACGGCCCATCACAGCAAAACTTGTCACAAACTTGCGCTGATGGTTGGTACCATTTGGTTTCCTTCCCCCCCCGCCCACCCCGGTCTCTCTTACTCCCCTCTCTGGTTTGCGAACCCCGTGTTGTCCCTTGATATTCCCATGACATGCCTATTTTGGTGCTTTCCCAACCGGTGCCACCCCCCCCCCCGCCACGAAAAAGCAGGACAGACCCGCGTAACCAGCACGTGCGACGCCTCGCAGTCTTGGAGCCGCACCCTGACGCTGCCCCTGAACAGCCTCCAGCAGGTACATAAGCACGGGACCCTCGAAAATTGCGGCTTTGCTACGCATAGTAGCTGGCTGCAGCCGCACCTCCCACCTTACACAACGATACTTGGATGTCTAGGTTGCTTGGTTTTTCCAAGCGCGAATGCCGTATGATACCGCCGTAGCTTAGCGACCAACTAGGTCAGCGTGGCTCGCTCTTTGTGTATGGAGAGACAGTTCGCTCTTGACGCTGGGGTCGTATCGTACGGGCCAACGTAGGCAGAGGAGTTAAGCCTGCGGGCAAGGTGCTGTTGCAATGGAACTCCTACGGCGTCAACTCCAACATATGTAGAAGCAGATATATATATATATTTGATCTCATTGTCTAAGGTGTTGTTTTCTCCATACTTTGCTCTCTTCGATCCATTGATCGTGCGGTAAATACCTTTGTTGCTGCGTGAGGTTCGTCGCGAGTCTGCTGTAGCGAGGCTAGGTACTATGGACGTTCTAAAGTTCATACTGCTGTACATGTTGTTGGGGGTCAAGGTCGGGGCCAATTTTAAGTTTTTTGTGTTGGTTGGAAACTTTTCACGCCGTTCGTAACTCTTTCTTCTCGGGTAGGGAAAGCGTCCTATACCAACCAGAAGCAATCATATCGCCCTGTTGTGAGCCCCCCCGTCTCGTAACTCGCAACACCGCCCGTCCAATTGCGCCGCATCGGGGGGCCCGTGGTATGCGCTGGCAGGGTCACCTTAAGGTGTCGGTGTGCCCCGGCGCCCCCCTCGACGAGGAGCGGCTGGCCGAGCTCGCCTTCGGGGGAAAGCTCCCGCCCGCGCCGTTGGGGTTCGTTAGCGTGCCCGTGGCGGACCTAGCGGGGCTTGAGCGAAGGTGGGTGGTTGTTATGTTTTTGGAACGTAGAGAAGCACCTCGCTGCTGTTGTTTTTAGAAAACATACACGCAATCACAGAAAGACCTCCCGTTCGAGGTATAACCGCAGCAGTCGAAGGGGGTGTGTTGAAGTCTTTACAGCAGTGAGTGGGGGAAATCGGCTGGATGCTGGGCTTATTTTGAGTCTGCTTTTTTTGTTGTTGTTGTACGGGCATTGTGGGGGGGAACTGTGCCCGTTTCGTTTGCGTGGACCGGCGGGGTGAATCACGGGGTGCGGTTTACCGCGCGCTGCGGGTAGCCGACGTTCCGTGGGAATCCGGCGTTCCGTGGGATACACCCGCCCCGTTCGCAAAACACAGCACAACACAGAGAGGTCTTGTGTTTCTCCTTCCGCAAGATGACGTCATAAAGTGGATTGACTTCCCCCCCCACTTGTCTTGGATGCACGAGGAAAGAGGCCCGACGAGCGCAGACCCTCTTCCCCTGACGAATAGTGTCCCGACCGCCCCTTCTTTTTTTTTTTGTGTGTCACGGACGTCTGCGTCATGCGAACTCCCCGCTCCACGCGGACCGACCGCACCACCGGCAGCCGACCCTTCACGCTGGAGGCGGAGGGAGGTTCACCCATCGCGCGGGGTCCTCGCTCCATTGACCTCGGGTTCACGGTGGTGGAAGACAGCGCCGCCAACGGCAGCGGGGACGGTGGGAAGGAGCCCGCACACTCTTCGGGAATATTTTCCACCTCCGACTTCTCCGTGGACCCGCCGCTGCCCGTGCACTCCTCCTCGTCCTCGACGCGGCGGTCTGAACCGCGGGCCCGCTCGAAAGGAGCGGGAGAATTAATCGGTGGTGGTGCGGGACCATTTTTTGGGAGTGGCGGTGCGGTACAGCAGCAGGCGACATCGCGCTCCCCACGCGCCTCCTACTACGGAGGGGTGGAGCGCGACGGCGGTAGTAGTATCGCGTCTCGATCCGGGACCAGCAGTGACAACGGCGGCGGTGGCCTTCTGCGAGTTAGCGGCTCGTCCGGGGGAGGGCTGGGATCGACGCCGTCGTCCACACCCGCCGCCGCGGTCCCGCCACGGTACCCCAGTGGTGGTGGTGGTGGTGGTGGTGGTGGTGGTGGGAGAGATTCATGCGGGAGCCGGCCGGGCCGGGC